TTTCAGTGTCTCTCAATGTGTCCTAGTGTGTCCCAGTGTCTTTCAGTCTGTCTCAGTGTCTCTCGATGTGTCCTAGTGTGTCCCAGTGTCTTTCAGTCTGTCTCTGTCTCTCGATGTGTCTTTCAAGTCTCTGCGTGTCGTCCAATGTTCCAGTGAAGACTCACGGAATAGAGCTGCCTCTTGGCGCCAACGTTGGCGTTGGCTTCGCTCCAGTCGAAGGCGAGCTCCTCCTCCTCTCTCTCATTGAGCCAGATCAGCTCCATAGTGGCGTGAGACACAAAGCCATGCAGGCTGTCCAGGCTCCGCAATCGCCATGATGATGTCTCCTACACACCACAGCACAGGGTCTCAACACTGCAGTGTACTGAACCCTGCTGGCACAGCCAGACAGCAGCTCTGACACACAGACAGGCAGGCAGACAGAGACTGTGTGAAAGTGAACTCACCAGCAGTTTGCAGTACTGATGCTCCAGTTTGGCCAGGGTCTCTGTGTAACTGCTCCGGAAGTTCGGAGAGATCTTTGACTGCGGGAGGCAGAAGAAACAGATTTGTCCGATAACAATATCTGACAATATTTCCTACCAGCAGTATACAAGCAGTGAGCACAGCCCTGGGGCCAGCGAGTGTATATGAAAGCAGGACATTGCAATGGTCAATGTGTATACGGTATATAGACAGCACTGAGGGTAAAGGCAGGACAGTGCAGTGGTCAGTACATGTACATTATTTACAGGTAGACAGAGCAGTATATACAGGCTGGACAACACAGTGGTCAGTGTGGTTAATAAAGGCAGGACATTAAAATGGTCAGTGTGTGTACAGTATATACAGGCTGGACAACACAGTGGCCAATGTGGTCAATAAAGGCAGGACAGCGCAGAGCTCCTGGTCACTCTCACCTCGTACAGCCTGGCCTCTCTCAGGCTTTGCTGGAGCTCCTCTACAATGCTGTGGACAGATCGGTGAGACTCCAGCTGCTGCTCCACGCCGGGCAGGTCCGCACCCCACTCTGCCCGCTCGAGAGACACCTGCGGTCCACAGACGGACAGATCAACCCACGGGGGCAGGTCACAGGTCAGTGTCCCTCTTTCCCACCACCCCCTTCTGTCCACATACCTGCATTTCCTCCACCCAGCCCAGCAGCTCGTAGATGAACCTCAGGCTCCCCTCGTCCTCGGAGGACGACAGCGACACCAGCTCCGCGCGGGACAGAGGCCGCCTGAGTCGAGCTACCGCCGCGCCGCCAGCTGCCAGCAGGGTCTGGGCTCCTAAGGGCAGAGAGAGCCCCGCCCTGCTCAGCCCCCCCTGATCTCCAGACAGCCCCCCGGGGGCAAAGTGGCCCTTCCTGTAGACGCTGGAACACTGTAGCCGCACTGCGACCAGCTCCTCCTGGAGACAGGCCACCCTGCACAAGAACACAACCGTGAACGAAGTGTGCAACACACCACACCGCTGGAGCCAGGCCACCCCGCACGAGAACCACAACACACCACAC